TGAAAGTTCCTTATCTTCTCTTGAAATGCATGAAAATTCACAGACTTCTGTTGTACTATCCCTTCCTCTCCTGAAAATGATGGCAAGTGGCAGCTAACTAGCTCTGAGAACAAGCCCAGGGTTAAGTCTCCTGTTAATAGAGGTTCACCTTGCACCTGCTGCCAAAATAATGGCTTATTATGATCCCCTGTTGGATAACTTCTCATGACCTCTGTCCCTTGCTTGTGGAGATTGCAAGTTTTTCAGATCAGGTTATAAAGCAACTTGTCTCCGTGCTATCCTTGGAAACAGATGCACATCCACATCATTGTAATTAGAAGTAGCTTCATGAAGGTGTAGCTCAGAAAAAAAAAATTAAAAAAAAAATTTGCTTTTTTTGTCTTTGTGGAACGAGGGTGCATCAGTATTTGTCCAAATCACTTCTTTAACAGCCAAAGTGTATGTTTGACCATCTGCATTTTTTCAAATAGGGAAAAACAAACATAAATCAACTGCAATTAATTAGGGAAAAATATAAAAATTCTTAGTTGAACATGAGGATCATCCTGATTGCCTGTATAAAGTAGTTTGTAAAAGAGCCTAAGGCTAAGGTTTAGTTAGCCTTTTTAAAATTTTGCCTATGGCTCAGTGATGTTAAAATAATAATGTAATTGAAATGAATGTGATTGCATGTTTGGTTTTTGGAAAACAAGTAACAATATGGCTATGGATTCATGGATTATCATATGGGCTCATCTTATCACATAGGAAACTGGGTCACAAACTAAACAAAAGACATAATGCTACAGAATTGTAACAAAATTGTGAGTTCAAAAGTGCAAATAAACAAGATAATTGGCCTTTTAGCTTCTCCTTATAAAACCAAAGTTTTATTTGCCTTTTAAACGGGACACTAAAATTTAATTGACACCCTACAGTGCATGCAGAACAGACAGTCAAGAAAAAGAAGTTATACGAAATAGGCAGAGAAGCATAAGAGATTAAGATTTTTCAAAACTAATAGGAGGCAGTCTGTAAAGGTATTAAGTCTCAAAGATCTGCTGTTAATACAAACCTGAACGAGAGGAAATAAGACTGGGCATGGAGATGCACTTGTAACAATAATAGTAACAATATCTTCTAACAATTTTTCAGAAAAAAATTACAAATATTGAAAGGCCAAATCAGAATCTTTCACCATCACTGGGATGCTCTGTGCAAGCAGCAGCTCCATGTTGGCTATTAAGTATTGTTTGGAGAAGGTCTTGCTTGGGTCACATTGTTCACAGACTGATTTTTTTTCTCACGAATTGAGAGAATGGTCTCTTTGCAGAAATGCGCACGATCTGCTGTGAGAATAGATACACCTTAATTCAGGGCTTGAAAACAGCCTTGCAAGACAGAGGTTTGTCCAAAGGACAAGACCTTGAACCATTTTTGACCACCATTTGGACCACTCTGGACCATGGTACCTAGGTGCCATATCTCTTGGAACAAGAAAAGAGCGCAAACCAGACCAGTTGGTTGGTTCCCAGCAGAATGCAGAGGAACTGGTCCATGCTGGAGCCAGCTGCTGTTGGTTATCTTTAGCACTGCACCTCTTCTCTCTGCTGACTCCATGGGATATAGGAACCAGCAGCCTTAAGAATGGCTAATCTGTATTCTTCATTGTAGTCCTACACTTGGCATGGTAGGCTTTCTGAGAGCCTTGTGACTCTTTCTTCAGATACTGGGTCCCTAGAAATCTGGGAGATTTTCAGTGGAGTCACAGGTCAAAAGTATTCCTGAGCCTTATACCTGATAAGAAACAATGGGCAAACCCAGGATTGTTTTAAATACTCTGGGTTTTTAGGGTCAGGAGACATTTGAGACTATGCTTTGTTTACATTGCAAGAAGGTATGTTTCCTGGAATGTTTGATCTCTGCTTTCTCTGCAGTACAGAATCTACATTAAAAACTAGTAACGTAGATCATTAATAAATATGTTAAAGAAGCCTGATCTGTGAGGTACACACTCAGTGTATGTGAGGACATCCAGCGGTGCTATAGCCCCACTTCAGTGATTATTCCCATGGAATTAGAGAGGTTGCATGCCATTGAAATGATTTGGAGATTGCCAGATTCTGTAATGTCTTTATTTGCCCCTTTTTTCACCTGTAATGTAGTGCCTTTTATTTGTTACTTCAGCAGATAATTTTTATGGTAGCTTTTCTACTTTATATCCTGCTGGAATATAGTTTAACAAAATGCCTTTCGAAACAGTGTATTTAATTTCTCAGTCATGCCTCTGGGAATAAATTCTTGCTGTATTATAACTTCTTTTATATCTTTACTGTGCTTGAGAACTTCTATAGACTTTTCTTTCAGAAATCATGACTTCTTAATCCCTCTCTGTCTCTCATGTGTGTCTCTTTTCTGTCTACAACAGCTGTTGTTTGCTGCTGGTATCCACATCTGCTCACTTCTGTAAAAGTGCCTTAAACACTTAAAGAAATTCCTTAATAGCATTTATATTTTTGCATCTGGAACTCCAGTAAGAAAATAAAATTTTCACACGTGACTGACTGTTTGAGGTGTTATGCATGATGCTGTGCCAATGAGCTGGTGTTGTGGAAAATCCTTTAAAAAATTACTTTAACAGGCTTTAGTGATTCTGAATGGTTGCATTTATGGCAGGAAATGTTTCATGATGGTACTTTCAGAAGTAACGATGCTGTATATTTCTGTGTAAAAGTCATGTCTGCTTTACTGGTAATTACTTCCCCTTGCTCTTTGCAAAGTTAAGCGTGCAGCTTTTTGTCAAAGCAGCTAATGGGGCTGGCTGAAAAATTGTTAAATTCAGTTCTTAACAAGCAAAATCGGTAATGTTGAATGAACATTTTTCTGGGAAGCTGATTTTAATTACAAATGGGACTAGCTCATCTTGATCCAGAAATGTTTTGGTTTAGAAGTGCTGCTGTGCTGGATAGCATTTTAGTTGTAAAATCTTGACTATGGATCAGAGCCCCAGAATCTCTCATCTCAGGTTCTCTCCCTGTCTCTGATGAAATCGCCCTCCATGAAGAGAACCTAGGGTTACAAGAAGTTTACTCTGTTCCTACAGAGTTGAACAACAAAGAAAATCTTTTCCTTGCAACTCCCATGAGGTTGACCACATTTATAAATGAAAATACTTTTGGTTTTTGTCCAAAATGCTTGTTGTTCTATCTCTATGAAGTATGGGAAATTGTTTCCCCAGATAAGTACCTGTGAAACAAAAGACCTTTGACTGCATTTTGATTATTTGCTCCTACTAAATGAGTTCCTCAGGACATCAGAATGGTTAATGACTAAAAGTCTCCAGGTTAAGGGTAGAAACTTTCATCTCATGAAGCTAAACTTTGTTCCTCATTTGAGGTGTCATTAATAAGCCTTACACTTTCCAAATGGTTTCTGAAAGATTTTAACTCTCAGTTCAGAAGCCACTAATTTCTCACTAGGAAAGACCACACCCAGATTTCATACAGAGATTTCGGAGTTCTGGACTATAAAAGAATAAGGCATAAATATTTCTGTAAAGCAGGTCTGAATCAAGGTAGAGCACCAGGGAAAACTACATCTTAATGTTTTGGCTTTTACACAGACCTGATATTTGTAACGTAGCTGCTAACAAAGCTCTCAAGGTGCTAGTCAAAGGAGGGAAGGTATTTTACAGACAAGCAATGTAATCCCATGTTTGTTTTTAAAGAATATGGGGAGATGAGTGGATTATAACAATATAGAAGGAAAAATTATGATTAAAAATGTGCTCAGGCTAGTTTAATGGTGACAAAGTTGTTACAATTAACAGCTACGCTGAAATTAGTGTATGTAATATAAGTAATTCACTCTATCTACTGCATCACACAGAACAATTTCAGGACTGCTTAGAAGGTTTACATCAAATATACCTTGCAAGTTTGTTTGCATTCATTGCTTGGCAGATTTGAACAGCCCTGTTTGTCTTTGTTAGTCTGTTCACAGTTTTCCAGAGGAGTTTATGCCATTTTTGGATTCTATGACCAGATGTCAATGAACACACTGACGTCATTTTGTGGAGCCCTTCACACATCCTTCGTCACACCCAGCTTCCCAACAGATGCTGATGTGCAGTTTGTCATCCAGATGCGACCAGCATTAAAAGGAGCCATCTTGAGTCTCTTGACTCATTATAAGTGGGAAAAGTTTGTGTACCTCTATGACACAGAACGGGGTAAGCACCAGCATTTTAAGTGATTTTTCTATTTCATAACTCGCTGTAAGTATTACCAGAATCAATATGTGCAGCCTGTCCCAATTTTCTTCTGGATATAGGAGGCATATTCTGATGGTCCAAGAAAACCAGTTTGTTCTGAAGAAACTAAATTGAATTTATAATGAAAAGAAGGTATCTTCATGTTACTGATCATTTGTAAAGAGATTGTCTGGAGGATAGTGGTAGGACTGTAAGCATTAAAGTTGGAACACCTGGTTTCCATGGAACCTCAACACTTGCCAGGGTTTTGAGTCTTTGCAAGATAAATAAAGCCAGCACTATGAAGTAGGCTGTTAAGCAAGATCTTCTATTGTGCATGACATTGCAAATCTCACACCACTTTACATAAATGCTCATCTCTTCTATTACTGGACAAAGATAATCCATGCTAAGATATACTCTGGAGATGTCTAGGCATCAATAACAGCCTAAGAATATAATATATAAGATGCTTTAGGGCTCTGCTGGAGAAAAGATGCTCTGGATATGTCACATGGATATCCAGTGATGAATTCAGAAACATGACAAGAATGACCAGTGTTATGTTTTACTAAATGAAAACATACTAAAAACAGTGGTTTCACACTTCAGCCAGTTGTTAAGTACTGAGAAGCACCTAGGGTTAGCAAATCCTGTCAAAAGAGATCTAAGCATCAGAAAACATTTTCTGTCAGGAATCTTGCATATTTCTGTGGAGCAGCTGGTGCCACCTGCTCTGAGCGTACAGAATTGTCTTGGTTACAGGTTTTACCTGGGTAGCCTTTTGTGCCACTGGCATTCTCAACAACTTCATGGTTACAAGCTCCAAGGCTTTCTTCATATCAAAGGGGTCTGGATAGAGCCTAAGAAGCTTCAGTTCCATTCCCAGCTCCTGTGATGAAGTTTTGATCCCCCAGGCTACTGTATCCTAATAAAGATAAGTGTTCAGTGGCTGTAACTTTCCATGCTGAAGATTAATGGCATCACCCAACTAAGGACATTCTGTATTTTGAAAGAAAGTAATTTTTAGTCTGGTTTGAGGTGAATGCCAGGAACAGAATTTTCTGAGTGATTTGAAGGTGTTAAATATTTCTGGTGTTGAAAAACACTAGCTATGAGATTGGGTAGGAAAGTATGAAGTTAAGACTTCCATTAGTTTTTAAGTCTTAAAACTGCTACCCAAAACCACATCTTTCTGGTTTAGTCCACTTTTAAATGAAAGCTCCTGTGAATATGCCATTTGTCTGTGTGAGAAAGGTTTGATGTGACCAAATGTGATAAATGTAGAGCATATGATGAAGTAAAATGTTGCATGTTCCAAGACTGATGAAACTTATCCATGATTAAGGTTAATAAAGTTTGTTTTGGAAAGAGATCATCAGTCAACCAAGATCATGCCTAATGAGGAATTTGGCACTTCATGCTGGGAAAAAAATAAAAAACATTGTTTCACTGGAATTTGTCTAGATAATAGTGTCAGACAGATAGTAACAGAAGTCGTAAGGGAAGACTTGGAGTCTTGCATTTTTCTACAGTCCTCAGTGTGTACAATCTTCAGATAGACATGGTCTAATCATGAGCTTATTATGATGACTAATCCCTTTGGAACAATTTACATTGTGCCCAGGCTTCATTTTACCTTGTTCATACTAAGGTTTTAATCACAGGTTAAGCCACTGCTCTTGCTGGCAAAACTAGCCCAAGAAATCTGTCTTTAGGATGGAAGAGGCATCAGTGTGTATAGAGAGCTTGCTGACGGGCTTTGAGTTGTTTGGGATAACCTTACCACATCTTTTCTTTCCTTCCTGTACACATTTCCTTGTTACTGTTGTTTGAGAACGTTTGTCCATCTGCTGAAACAGAAACAAAAATGAAGAGCTGATTGCCTTCAATTCCATCTGGTTTAGTTTGTTTAAAACTGGTAGCAGTCTTAGCGGAGTTTTAATTGCTGTATTCTTCCAGGATTAAAATAAATAAGATTTATATAGGTGGGAGTGGCAGGGCAATTAGGTACTGAGAGATTGACATTAGATTCCTTTACTTGATGAGCAGTAATCCTGGATGACAGCACCTGAAGCATTTGGCAATTCCAATAGGCTGCCAAATTTTTGTGATGTGCCTTCAAATACAAAAAAAACAACATCCCTAGAGGTTGAACAATAATAATAGTGAATGACTCCCTGTGTGGGATAGTGAATAGGCTGTGCATGTTCCTATGCTGAGATGCCATTGGAAATTAAACGCTAGAGGTGTCACAGTTTTTAATAATTCCCTTCTTAGATACTTAGCTGCTTTGAGGCACAAGCAGTGTCAAGTGAAGGTGTTAAGCAGTTTACTGTCAGTTCCTGAAATAAACCATCATTTAAATACTGCCTTTCTATGAAGATTATTATCTCACTGGTTTGTTCTGAGAGTCTAAGAAATGGCAAAACATTAGACAACTCTTTCTTATGTTTAGTATTAGTTATGGGCTAAATTGTTCTTGCAAGTAGTTTTACAGTGTTCTGCTGAAGCAAAACACTGCCATGTATTAAACATTGCATTTCATTTATAAATACCACAGCATATTACAGATGCCATACAAACTGAATCAACTTTCTAGTGGTTTTATACTGCCTATTGAACTACTTCCATTTAAGCTTAGGAAAATGGAGAATCAGCTTTAGAAAATTTGTTTTCTTAAAGAGTGGCTTTTTTCTTCTTTGCCGTCAAATCGTATAATCATATGGTTTCCCCCTCAATGACATTAAACACAATACTGTGATTTTTGGCTCCTGAAATGAAGGCAAAAGATAAATCTGAAACAATAGAACATAAGATGTACAATTAGATAGCTAGATAGAGAAGCTTTTAATCCAGTGAGTTAGCATTTATGTTGTATATATTTATATTTCTTAGTACATTACATTCTGTTGCTATGAGATGACTGAATGTTGCAGATTGTGTTCTCAAATGTATATTTATCTGCAGGTGCATAATTTAGTTTCTGAAAAACAGCTAAAGCACACAGAAAGAAAAATGGTATGCAAGATAGACTAATTCCATCAGCAAGAATTATGGCTTATAATTGTTTATTTCCGTTGCTGCACTTAGTTTTCTGTGAAGAAACTAAATTTGAGAGAAATACAAAATTGCATGTTTTTCTCCTAGGACCAGGAGAGAAAATACATCGTACTTTGCAGAGAGTAATGATGCATTAGGAAATGGCTGCAAAGGGAAGAAAGGACATTCATTAGGCAGTGTATAGAAGAAACAGGCATATGTTCATTCCATGCCACATGCTTTTAGTTCATGTGAAAGGGGAAGGCAAGGTTGATTTCTGTTTGTATTAACTCACATCAGTAAGTTGACACTGTTGGTTGCTGTGATGTATGCAAAATATCTGATTAATCATGTGGTGTTAACTTCCTCAGTAGGCTTCTTTGCAGTAGAATTAACACTAGTTAAGATTATGTCAGAATGAAATGAGATGGGGTTATGTACAGAAAGCTAGTAAGAATTTGGGTAGCACTTGTCAGGAAAGTCACCTTTTACATCTCATGGTGAATATTATCTTTCATCAAAAACCTCAGGTTTAGTTCCAGCCTTCAGATCTGTTTCTCTTCTTGCTTTGCCTTCCTGTAAATCAGATGTTACTCCACTGAAAGCAGTGGACCTGAGTAACACTAGTAGGAATGTGTGGAAAGGTAAGCCTGTGGGTTTCATAGTCATCTTACTTAACGTTGTGTGAAAGTGTGAAGTACTTCTCATTTAATTATAAAAATTGCATGCTAGATTGTGATAGCCAACTTTTTTGTTTATTTAAATTTCCATAATGTTCCTTAGGTATCGTTTCAGTTTATTTTTGCCTGAGAAGCACTGTTTGGTACAGATATTTCACTTCCCATCTGTCAGTACGACACAGACATTTCGTCCTACGTTACTTTGATTTGTCATACCTGCTGTGCACAGAGACATTGATTTCTGTCATGTAGATCATTTAAACAGAATCACACCAAGTGATTTCTGTGATGTGTATCAAGTCGTTCTCCTCCTCCTTCAGATCATAAGAGTCATCACAGGACAGGAAAGTGATGTTGTGTAATGCCTGCCTACACCATGGGAGATCAGTCTAAACAGAGCTACAGATAGATCCCTGTCTTTATGGATTGTAACCAAATACCTCTCTAAATCTGAAAATCATCTGTAATTTGCTTTTGATATAGTCTGTACATAGGTATCCAGGAATACCTACAATAAGGGGCAAAAAAGTTTGGGTAAATAAGGTTATCTTTGGCTAATTTATTAATAATTTTTTTTAATTGGTTAACACTCACTAGGTAAAAGTTGAGGAATGGAAGTGTTCATCTAAAGCCCCAGGTTATGTGGCTAAGCAAAGCTGAAAATATCAGCTTTAAAAGCAGTTACGTCTTTAAGCTCTATTGCCACAGAAACTCATTTGATCTGAATGTAACAGGCAGGTAAGGGTGCAGAAGGCCTGAAACTACAGCTTCAGAAAATATGACCTGTCATATTCCTCTTAAATATAAGACCTTTAGGTAAACTGTTGCAGGAAGAAATGTCAGGTAAAGAGTCAAAAAAAAAAAAAAAAGAAAAAAAAAAAAAAAAAAAAAAAAAGAAAAAAAAAAAAAAAAAAAAAAAAAGAAAAAAAAAAAAAAAAAAAAAAAAAGAAAAAAAAAAAAAAAAAGAGGTACAGCCTTAAGCTCCTCAATGATGTGTCAGGCATCAAATTGTCTTGAATTGGGTTCAGTACAAGGCAGTGAGGTCTGGTTCACTGCTTCTGCTGAAGACAAAGAATAACCCTTCTGTTTAGTTCTGCTTTTACAAAATGAGGTTAGTTATCTATTGCTATCAGAGGACAAGACACTTCTGTACAGCTTTCCCTGGGGAGAGGGAGATTGGAGCTGATAAAAGAAGTGGTATGTAGAACCAGGCTCATTATATCTTCCACAAAATTAAATTGATTTTTTTTTTTTTTT